CGTGATCCCAGTCGAGATGCCTACAATGTCAGCTACGCTTGGAAACTGGTAAGCTATTCCTCTGCAGTGGAACAAGCATTGGCTGAGGAAAAACCAGACTGAGTTTGTATGTTGTTTTATTTAATCATTTTGTATTTTTACTGATCTTGATCTCTGATTTGCAGGTTCAGGACACTTTGTTTATATTGTGTATAGTTTATGTTCAGCCGGAGATCCCGGTAAAGCAACTTAAAAATCTGAACACGGCCCCTAGCAGCAAACTCCTGTACCACCGCCTGGATCTGCTGGGGCAGCCCAGCTCCTGCCTCCACTTTAAACAGCTCGCTACAGTCGGTAAGCTCAGACAAAACATTAATATCATCTTAACATCTTGGGGAAAAAAAATAGTAAATGCTATTCTCAAAGTTGTTAGGACTTGCCATGCAGAGCTCGTTTCTCTGAAAACGGAGCGAGACATTTATTTTAAGATATTTCTTTTTTTATAAATCAATATCAAATCCAGGTGGAACAATTACAAAAGTTTCTTTGCTTTTGCTCAACAAGTGAATTGTTACCAACAAAAACCAAATAAATGATAGCGGAGGACTGCATGTCAGAAGTTGTTTTGTTGTTAAAGTTATTAATTTCATATTATTCTTAAAGGGAAATAAATGTGTTAATGCGTTAACTATGGAAAAAGTAGACTATATATAGTCTACTTTTTCCATAGTTAACGCATTAACACATTTATTTCCCTTTAAGAATAATATGAAATTAATAACTTTAACAACAAAACAACTTCTGACATGCAGTCCTCCGCTATCATTTATTTGGTTTTTGTTGGTAACAATTCACTTGTTGAGCAAAAGCAAAGAAACTTTTGTAATTGTTCCACCTGGATTTGATATTGATTTATAAAAAAAGAAATATCTTAAAATAAATGTCTCGCTCCGTTTTCAGAGAAACGAGCTCTGCATGGCAAGTCCTAACAACTTTGAGAATAGCATTTACTATTTTTTTTCCCCAAGATGTTAAGATGATATTAATGTTTTGTCTGAGCTTACCGACTGTAGCGAGCTGTTTAAAGTGGAGGCAGGAGCTGGGCTGCCCCAGCAGATCCAGGCGGTGGTACAGGAGTTTGCTGCTAGGGGCCGTGTTCAGATTTTTAAGTTGCTTTACCGGGATCTCCGGCTGAACATAAACTATACACAATATAAACAAAGTGTCCTGAACCTGCAAATCAGAGATCAAGATCAGTAAAAATACAAAATGATTAAATAAAACAACATACAAACTCAGTCTGGTTTTTCCTCAGCCAATGCTTGTTCCACTGCAGAGGAATAGCTTACCAGTTTCCAAGCGTAGCTGACATTGTAGGCATCTCGACTGGGATCACG